TCCTACATAACTTCAATGAATATATGTTTTCCGATGTTCTTAGACGACCCCGGTGAAAGGGTCGTTCGACCCCAAAAGAAGGGATACGACCTGCAAGCTGAGAACCGCTGCTTTAGCTCCTATGTTCCCGATGAAGTACAATACACATTCTTGGACATGCAGAACAATTTCACCTGCACGCATCTTAGATACAATATCATTTGCCGTCCTTTTTAGTATGACATTTTTCGTTATTTGAAGCCCCACCCTGGCTCTTGCCAGGGGTCGCAATATAGCCAGGCCATAATTATGGATAACCGGCTGAACGCGGTTTATGGGACCTCTCCACGGTGATTCTCATCCACATGGTGAGACATTGTGTCATCGGGTGTTTATCGCTTGTATGATGTCCTGGTGGGGTAGAAAGTCAGTCAGTTGTGTTGTTTTGTACGTTTCAGGTATATCCACGTGTCATCGTTCTTGTATGTCGAGTTTTACTACCCTTTGTTTCTACAAATATGTCACAGCGGATGTTCAATGCGTCCTTGACTAAAAAACCACAAAAGAAAAAGATTAATATTAAGAATGATATACAGTTTTAGCCACCGCTTTAATCCTTTCACACCAAGAACTCGTTTTTTTTTTTTTTAACATCATAACCCCGTTAGGATTCCTGAAAAAAAAAAATCAAAAGGAATTTGTGTTGTTGTTGCACAGCTCACTTACAAATTTGTTAAAGATATATTTATCGACATTTTAAAACTTTCTTGAAATTTGTAGATATACGAAAAATGTTATAAATAAACATGCCCGTCTTACTAGCTCATTTGGTTAAACCAGCCTGCGCAGGGACCGGGTGTCGAACTCCTTTTAGTCCGAGTTCGCGCTCAGGAGTAGGCAGAAAAGCCACACATTTCCCAAATTTACGGTATCTATCATGGGGGAAAAAAATTAACATGAACGGGGTGAAGCATTAAATGGAATAGATCCCATGGGGGCTGAAAAACATTCGTGTATCCAGTGACTCATGCCAGGACCTTTACCACAGAGGTTTATGAGAAAACTTGATTAGTTCCACGTTAGTCTCCCCAGAGAAAGTAAAGCACGTTCCCCTCATTACTTTATTTGTACTGGTCTACTTTCGTGAGAGTTACGGGTGTTTTGCCCTGTTGTTTGCTTTCTGGCTTGCCTTGCATTGACGTTTTTCTTCCGAGAAAAAGAATGCCTGTGACATAGGTTGCAGCACTCTCTTGGGGAAGGGGAGTTGTGTGTTAGACCAAGTTTTTGCATGTTTTTGTAGTGTTAAAAGCGCTGGCATGCTGAAATATAGGGGGAACTATCGTGGAACTAACCAAAATCTGATGTCATCTTGGCCTCAAAAAGGCCATTTAGCACAGAGAAAAAGCCTCTAAATACTAGTTTTTCAATTTATTGATATCCTTACCTCCTAAACGTTTGCTCATACGCTAACTCAGCCAATAACATCTCGTAAACAGGTCATGATAAGCAAGTCGGAGAAGTTACATTTACAGGGACCCTGACCCGGTCTGAAGTGTTGGGGTTTTCCCCCGGCTTCTCCGAGCGAAAAGGTCACATATATAGTAGGTTAATCTTACTTTGAGTTATACTAAAAATCTAGGTTCGATGTTTTTATTTATCCTGTTAAAAACCATTTTTATGTAAATGGGAGCGGGCCAGTTTGCCTTCATAAACAAGGTCACGATTCGAAAAAGTTGAGAACCGCCCCTGTAATCCACTGTAAGGTTGTAATGTTAGCACTAAGGCATAGTCACCTAAATGTTAAATCCTTGTCCAGGGTTGCCCTATTGGCATTTTTTATGCCAGATTCCACAAATTTGGTATATTTGAAATTGAACTGGTATAAGATAATGAACTGGTATATTTGGGTTTTTCCTGGGTTTTTTTTTTCATTAACATGTGCTCACATTTTCTTCATAGTTCATCCGTTAGAAACACGCAGATTTACTCAAAGCAATGTAGACTTACAGTTAACATCTTTATTTCAGTTTGATTTTGTTGTGATGTCCTGGTATGGACTAACAGAGATTCGCGCCATTTCTCGTCTTCCTAAACGTCTTCGATAAACCAAGGGCCTCTGTAATTTATGGTAATCTACTAGCAGAAATGCGGGATATAAAACCAAAACCCACCACTGATACCAAGTGGTTCAGACTGTTCAGAAACTACTTGAGGACAGACAATAGAGAAGATATAGACCTAGTTATATCTGTGATAGATTTTATTAATTTTACCAATGGCCACGTCACATCATCAAAAAAAAAAAAAAAAAACCGGCTCTCCTGTCAAATCCGGACGAAGAATAAAAAGCCTTGGACGACTTAGTCAGAGTTCTCTCCCTTGGCCGCACTCCAAACAGTGATCGGAAAAGCCAACGAAACAAACGACACACTCACCTATCATCCTACGGTTGCGTGTAGGGCTTTTTATTCTTCGTCCGGATTTGACAGGAGTACCAAAAAACCTTATTGATGATTTTCGGAACAAGAAATATGCCATCATTATAAATGAGTTGCAAAGACTTCACGCCATCAGAGAAAATGTTTAAAGATTTTACATCCGAAAATGTTTACGCTGTGTCTTCCACTGGTTCCAGTGAGGATGACAGTGAAGAATTCAATCTAGAGCTTTTAATGTGGAGTGAGTACAATGTTACACTTTATTTGGCATTTTCCTGGCATATTTTGGGTAATGATTTGGCATAAAATGAAGTTTTTTTTTCATCTGGCAACCCTCATCCTTGTGAGAAAATCGCGTTTGAACATTGAGATCCAGTTTTTTTCTTCTTCTTCTGCGTTCGACATCAGTCATGCTAAACATTGAGTCCCGTCTGGGTCACAAATATGATTGTGCGTTTAAGGTCGCCACCGGTCCCCCATAGCTTCTCTTTCAATGTGGCTCCCTTGGGCCAGATCCACAGTCTTTGCTGCGAGAGGTAAGGACAGTACTATAGTATGTGCCCAGGGGTCAGTTTTTCTGCTCCACAATCACAGGCAGCAGATTCTTTTATGCCTATCCTGTACAGGTGTGCTCGAAGACCACAGTGTCCAGTCCGAAGTCTAAAAATTGTTGTTTGTTCTTTCCTGTTGAGTTTGTTTATGCTGAGATCCAGTGAAAACTGTAGTTACGTGAAAAGTAATAGTGGTACCTCCGTATACCTCCTAATCCTTTCCGGATTTGATTTTTTTAGACTTAGACCAAACAGGACATAGGCCTATACCAAACAAGACGTATACCAAATGAATTTTCTCATAAGAAATAAAGAAGGAATTATTAATCCGCTGCCATTAAAAAAAAAACCTATTGTTATTGACTACTGGACGCAAATTTGCCTAGAAAAACCACAAAACAGCCAGGAGCTGTTGGGGTTGGTTCTGCAACGTCCTGTAAAGGATACGCAACTAACCTATTGTTATTGACATAATTTATATTGATGGCGGGGTATATAAAATAAAAGGAGACACCCCTGGCAAAGGAATTGAGTTTTTCTGTCGGAGATAATCATTAACATTTGAACCTTCACAATTCGTGGCGACACTACTAACCATACGGCTCGAAAACTCTTCAAGCTCACGAGCCTCCACCCCCTCCCCCTCCAGCTTCACCGGTCTAAAAAGCGGAAAATGCAGACAGCAGTGACAAAATAAATAATTTAAATGCTGCATTATGCTAAAATACATAAATATTAAAGCGATTGGGTGAAGGACAATTGAAAATTTGACCTCACTTTGTACCTTGCTGAGCAGAGTGGAGTGCCTACTACTGAGATGGAGGGAGGATAAAATATTATTGTTTGGACACTGGAGTATGTTACAATCTCGTTCAACCGAATAACGGATTAATCAAGTAACAGAAAGTGTATTGATCGGCACTCATAGAAAGAAGTAGATAGAAGAACACACTAGAAACAAAATATTTGAAAGCTAGTTACCGTGCCGGGAATTAAACATGTCACCTCCAGACGGCGTCTGCGCCTCGCCATGGATACAAGTGCACTAAGAATATGGTCAACTAGGCACCCCCCCAAAAAGGTGTCTTATTGGCCATGTCTATCGTACAACTTGAAATCCACAACTATGGAATACGGAAGAATTCATTTCAAACCCTTTAAATGGCACCATAGGTTACAGAAATTTATATTAACGAAGCATATGTCAAATAACAATCACAACTGAATAACCATAACGGCAGTTATGTAAGGGTACAAGAAGGTTACCAAATAACATGCAGTCACAATGTGGCTGAATGAAAATTGAAATCGTGGCCTGAATAATGCAGTCCGAAAACAAACGATTATGACCTTCGTATTGTGGTCACAGCCGACTGTATTTAGAGAAGGCGGCGATTGTGGTCATCCGCTGACCATTCAATGATCATGCATGACCCAATTTTCGCGTGTCCGGTTTCTGGTTTTTCCCCGCAACGGAAAACCCCCCGCGTCCTGCACGTGATCTATTTTTAAACGTATCCTGTTCCGTGTCTATATTTCCCTAGTAAATTCGAAATATAAATTATTTTTCTTGTTATGCGCTAATAGGAAATTTACAGTTGTGTTGTTTTCCGGGGACAGTTTACATCAAGTGTCGCCATTTCACATTGCCCTGCGTAGTATAAAAGTAAATTTAAATGTGCTGACTGAAATAATACTCGGATGTTGTTGACAGATACTCCGCGTCAACTTGAAGCAGAGGAATACAAAGAAGCTGATCATATATATTGACATGTGCTAGGTCGTAGACAGTTTTGCCACTACACATTACTAAAGTCATTTTGTTTTCACAGCGTCTTGAATATTTTAAAAGCGACTTTAAAGCGATTGCAAGAGGCTTAACTTAGAACGCTGATAAGGTCGTGTTATAAAGAGAGTGATATTACTGGAAATAGTTCATAGTGACACTTTGCTTTCAAGCAGAAGTGATATACAAGTTTCGAGCAACGCAGAATTGTTTGACAACAGCAGACAAGAGGTTTAACCCAAGAGGATGAAAATAGCTATCATCATGCAAGACGAGACAATATCTAAATGCTTAAAAATGAAAGAGGTACGTGAAGTTATATGTGTTGCTTCTTCTTTTTCTCCCTTCTTTTTCTTTCTATCTTTCTTTCTTTCTTTCTTTCTTTCTTTCTTTCTTTCTTTCTTTCTTTCTTTCTTTCTTTCTTTCTTTCTTTCTTTCTTGTGTGTGGTAATCTTCTAATTGAATGTAGGCTAACAATCAAGTCAACCCAAACCGTCCCACTCGTGTGATCTTCTACATCCTCCTCCATGTCGTCCTCATATTCATTCATCTGTCTTTAATTTTGCTTGTCTCCGTCTACACTTTTAGGCTATCTTCCGAATAACAGTCCCAAATCATCGAGGCCGAAAATATACACTAAAAGGGCCTCAGTCACATGTAAATTGCAGAACTCTTCATACGACTACAACAAACACAGCATACCACGAAAAATCTTACGCTGAATTAAAGTCACTGCCGAGAGTATCTCGGGGCTAAACTAGTAAACTGGGACTCCCGAGCAGCAACTACCGCTACTCATGCAGCTTCCTCCATTTTATTTGCTCGTGATACCCTGCCATCTAGTTGAGACCCACTCCGCGGCGCGCGTAGCGGCGCGGTAGATCCTCTCGGCGGTATGCTGTGTAGTCGCCGGAAGAGGTCCGCAATTTACATGTGACTGAGGCCCTGTTAGGGTATATTTTCGGCCTCCATAATTTGGGACCGTTATTCGGAGGACAGTCCCTTTTTATCTTCCAGTGGAGCGCAGCGCGTAAACCAAATCGCACCACTTCTTTGTGTTCATTGTAGTCTTTTGTGGCTTGAGCATTTTACCAGAAGAAAAAGCCAACGCTAAGCCTAAAGATAACATTATTAGCCACCTACGATATGCTCGTAATAAAAGTCATGAATGGCAGTATGTTAGACGAGCCTGCAGACAATAATCTGAACTCTTTGAAAATAAAATGAGTTTGTTCATAGTGTGATTATAATTTTTTGTGGTGTCCGTGGCTTAGGCTAGGCGTTGCGAGTCCGACTCGTAATTCCAACCTACCAGATCGGATGTGTGTCTTGGGTAAGTACATTTGACCACATTACCCCCCCCCCCCCCACCCCCACATTGCCGATTGGTCTGTAAAAATATTTGTGCTCTTCCCATATGCCGATGCCCTTAAAGGAGTGAATAAAGGATCTTTTCTTACTTACATCCAGTAAGGGCCCCGATAAATTGCTGACGTCTACTTATTCCTGGGTTTTTATGTATTTTTTGGTAATATACTTCAACATATCATTACTTTCAAAATAATTATCCTTTCTCTTTACTAGCCAACCTTCATATATTTAATTAATGTCTAGTGTGAATGTTGAATTAAGAATCGACATCACACCACTCGGGACAACCCCATAAGCGCTCCGTCCCCATCTTCAGCAGCAAGCAGAGTTCAAATTATGATGGTACCAGTAACTGTCTGATTGTAAATCCGTCTCGTCTTTGCCCTCAGTGTCGAGCGTCGGCCAGATCCCCTTGTAACTCTTCTCAGTGCCATTCTCCTCAGACCGTAATGATCAGTCTGTGTCTCGGCACTGTTCGCTCGCTCCCAAAGGGCCCTCACAACATCCAGCTTGTCATACATCAGTTCACCACCAAGTGGTGCAGAACTGGCGAGACTATCAGTCTGCTCATTTCCCAACACACCGACATAAACTTGTCTAGTGAGAAGAAGGTATGCACAATAATCGAAATAAGTAATACAGACAACAGCAAAATGGACGATAGGCACCGTCACTGTTTTTTAGTCGTAGCAAATTTGTTGCTTCTGACAGATAGTGGCAGTTGCATTTTCCTCCATTTGTAGACTGAAAGGACACGTTCTGTCGTTAAACTACTTAGCTGTGATTTGCGGATTTTATTTTGAATGCTTGTCAACTGTGACCAATGTAGTGTTGTGAACTGTAGATCCAGAAAATGACGCCTGGCCTAGTGCCACAGAATTGGTAGTGTCTTATGCTATTAAATTTGATCGCATGCGCAACTGCCGATCTTCTTCTTCTTCGCTTTCGGTTCCGCATGCTCAGGTCAGACCATCAGGTGGGTTGCCTCTATGAACTATGTCAGCTGCAGGTCCTCTCTGGGTCCCCATAGCTTGCTCTGCATACATTGCTTTTGAGGCCAGGTTTCTTTTGATCCTGGTCCACCGATGCGCAGAGATACTGTCAGTAGTTTAGGGTGGATCCGCCTAGAAGTAGTCCACCGGAGCAGCCCCATAATGGTCTAGGTATCTAAGCATACTCATTAACCAACGCTTTCAATCTGGAGAAGGTGTTGCATTAACCGTAGATTGCGTCAGGGGCGTAGCTGGGATATTTGAGGCCAATTTGGCACCGGGGGAGGGGGTGGGGTGGGTTCAGATGTTTGTTTTCATTTGCGTCAGCCATTTTGGGGGCTACTTTTAAAGACATTATAGTGCAAAAAACTTAAACGGATAGTAAAATGTACCGGGTGCCAACCTATACTAGGTGGGTACCGCCTAGACGAAGATACCATGTGCAATGCTGCAATATTTTCTTACGATACATATGAGGGCTTCCAAGCAGGAATGGAAATTATTATGTATATTAAAAAAAATAACAACTCAAAATAGATTTTCATTGGTTTTTTCCCCCAACGTCTCAGTACATAAGCAGATTATTTTTTTAAACCAAATTTCTCAAATTTCAGTTTCGTAATTTAATGAACTTTTATGCATGATTGGGGGGGGGGGGGGTTGGTCAGCTTTAATTCCCTAGCAGATTTAAAAAACCTTAGCTCCCTCTCCGATAAATAATTTTTTTTGGACGGGGGGGGGGGGTGTCGATTAAAGTCCCTAACCACTTCCCTCTTTACTACGCCCCTGTCGTGTAGCCAGACCTACACACAAAATAGAAGTACTGTACGTCAGCTCTGACAAACGATAGCTTACTGCTGGGACTGTTGTAAGTCTCATTAGCATTAGGAAATGGCAGCGAGAAGAGTAAACCAGACTAAACCTAACTTAACATGATCGCTAGAAGTCAGACGGGGGTTTAGGTTCATATTAGTTTATAGTCAAGAAATTGCGATGTTCAGTAGACGACAAGAAAAGAAGGATACCTTTATAAGCTTCAAGGTAAGCCAATGGCAAATGAGGCTTTATACTTTATTTTTTTGTTTGTAAGTAATGATGAGTAATAGTATAGTTACTAATGACTAATGGTATGGATGGGTTACCGTATTGATTAGCGTTTGTGGTAGGTTCCAAATCAAGTTCCAGTTTTTTACAGTTACAGCAAAAAGATAATTAATACAATAGAATTAACAATGCTGCGTGGGTCGCTTATTAAGTAAACAAAGTGACATATGTTAATATAAAGAAAACAACAGTAATAAATAGTAAAATATTTCATGTTTCTTTTGCAGTTGAGTGTAATCGGCGATTGTTGCTGTTACATGCACACTTTGCCACTGTTGGGAAGAGGGATGGGGATGGAGGGAGGGAAAGGATGAAAGAGATGGGAGTGTAGGGAAAAATAAAATATAAAATTGGCAATTATGAACCTCTCTTAACTACAGTGCAAAAGTGAAAAATGCAATGGTATTGACATGTAATAAAATTTAACGGCTCTACTGGCAAATCCGGACGAAGAATAAACAGACTTGGACGACTTAGTCAGAGTTATCTACCGTCGCCGCACTCCGAACAGTAATCGGAAAACAAACGAAACAAACGACACACTTACCTATCATCCTGCGGTTGCGTGTAGGGCTGCGTACGGTTGCGTGAGACATCGTGGCATCATCATATGGTTGCGTGCACAGTTGCGTACGGTTGCGTGAGGCACTGTGAATGGTTGTGTAGTCATCATCATGCGGTTGTTGGATTAGAGTTAGGGGTAGGGTTAGGGGTAGGGTTAGGGTTAGGGGTAGGGTTAGGGGTAGGGTTAGGGTTAGATGTGAAAATTTTGACGTAGGATTTCGAAATACTGGCCGACAATATGATGTTTGTGGCGCCACTGAAACTCTGCCAAATATGACGCCAATAGCGTGCGGCTGGTGCCCCCAATCGTTGGCGAATTGTGCGTGTGACCAGCATCCAGAGGCCCTCGATTGTTTGTGTATGTGTATGGGACTGTGCGCGATTATAGGGAACTCTGGCGTCAAAATTGTCAAATCTAACGCTAATCCGAACCCTACCGCTAACCCTAATCCTAATCCTACTCCCTAACCCTAACCCCTACCCCCCTAACCACGCAAATTTATCGATCATTAAAGCATACAAATCGGCAAACACGAACAAACAAAACACACCCAAAAAAGAAAAACACCCAGAATTGTCCTGCAGCGTCGGAAAAAAACCCAGATCTGGGGGAAACAACCAAGCATTGGCAGCCCTGATGTCGACGTGACTGTCTTCTTTGTTTCGTTGTGGCTTTTCCGATCACTGTTTGGAGTGCGGCGACGGGAGAGAACTCTGACTAAGTCGTCCAAGGCTGTTTATTCTTCGTCCGGATTTGCCAGTAGAGCCAATTTAACGGCCTCTCAAAAACAATACTACGGGGCTCAGTAGAGGGAAAGAGGAGAAGAGACCAAGAAAGACCTGGATACAGAACCTGATTGAGTGGACAGGCTTCAGGCTGCCAAAGGTGGAGAGAGCTGATCAGACAGTCAACAGAAACTGGTGAACCAACAACACGTAGTGTTACAGGATGATGATGATGAAAATATACAAATATGGGAGAGGAGAGAATGAAGAGAGAGAGAAGACAGGAGAATGAAGAGGAAAAAGACAAGACATGGGGAGAGACATAAAAAAGAAGATGTGACAGAGAGAGCGAGCATGGACATAGACAGACCGAGCAGGATCTCAGTCATGTCCTGCTCCCTTGTTTTATTCAACTGTCAATATGGCAGCCACCACTTCAACATGGCAGCCACCACTGCAACATGGCAGCCACCACTTCAACATGGCAGCCACCACTGCAACATGGCAGACACCACTACAACATGGCAGACACCACTGTCAACATGGCAGACACCACTGCAACATGGCAGACACCACTGCAACAGGGCAGACACCACTGCAACATGGCAGCCACCACTTGAGGGGAAAAGTGGGTAGACCTGCCATGATTTTCTAGGGAAAACAATAACATGTATCCCTGTGTGGGTTCCGGGGACCCATTGTGGGGAAAACAAGAATAGACCCACTGCCTCCCCAACAAGCATGTCGTAACATTAGACTATTGGGAACTTCCTTCGAAGCCAGAGTGCATCTGCCTGAGAGGCAAGGAAGCAATAATCTGCTTACAAGTAAGTCTGATTTGTACAACAGATAAGCATGCAGTACTTGGGTTCTGGAACAAGACTCAAGTCCAGAGGTGGCCGAACAACCATAACTTTTCTGCCTGAGTTTACAGCCGGCGAACGTGAAGAAGAAGAAGAAGAATACAACAGTATTCCCAGTTGTAACATTTTCACTGTAAAAGAATAAAGAAATCGAACTCAGGATCTCACTGGCTGGAGGATACTTCAGTGAAGTGCTCTGGGACACATGAACTGTAGACTTCATTATACACTGAATCAGGCAACTGAATTATAATCATCACATTGAAAATCTGCTGATTTTCCTGAACAGAAAACTAACGTTGCTTCACAGATAACACTAACAGCCATGAGCGTGCTTGACCAGACCATGTGCTACTAACTCCACTAACAAGGAAATAGGATAGTAAACGCATACGTTCAGAAAAAATTACATCAGTGATGGCAAAAATTGAAACATGTTAACATGAGCTTTTATGCTTCAGCATACCAGATCAGTAAATCGCCTCCAGCGACCTGCAGTCAACCTATCTCCAAACGAGAATGCACAATAGGAATCTAGGTCTAACACACAATCTCACTACTGAAATGTACTACTGCATAAAATAAGTGAGCCATTCTGGTCCACCATCATGAAATCAGTCTGTTTTCACTCAGTCGCCCAAAACCCATGCTGCTAAGCCTATGTGTGGTGCCGCCGCTGATGGGTGGGATCTCCTGTCCCTGGGTGACTGGCGTGGTCGGAAGGCGGAAGCTAAGAGGTCCTCCTCGCACTGGACAACCCCTTTTATAACCTATCTATCCCTGAGCTATGCCAGATTTTTTCGCAAGTGCAGTCAAATCAGAATCCATGGCCACCCAGCTACACTAAGAATAAGATTTTTTTTTATTACTGCAGTATGCTGAAGAGATTTCATCAAGGTTAAAGGTCACTTTAGCCAGGTTGTGTCATGCGGTGTGTACAGATTAGGCTTCCCTCCAAAGCACTGGTTTCTCAATCCTAATCACCTTTCCCTGTGCAGTAATTTAATTAGTGAAAGTTGCCAGCATATCAGTTGTCACTGATAACAAGATACTTTGGACCCTGATTGACTGGTATTGGGTGTCTATTAGATCTGTTGTCTAGAGTGCTTTATGTAACATGGACACTGTGGAGTGCTTTGAGTTGATAACAGTGGTAAGACTAGTTTAATGATTGTAGCAATTAAAATGTTTGTGTTATTTCTTTTTAGTTGTCTTTCTCTCTCTCTGTGGGTTCATGGACCCCATTTGGAGGGGGTGGGGGGATAAACCAACTGCCTTCCAGTAAGTATGTCATATGAGTTGACTAGTTAGTGTTGTTTCCTTTTAAAGTCAGAGCGCATCTGCCAGAGAGGGGAGGAAGCAATTATCTGCCTATAAATAATCCAGATCTGTACACACATGTACACACAAGACTCAGATTCTGGAACATGACCAGAATCTAGAAGGGGACAAACAACCAGAACTTTTCGCTAGGGTTTACAGTGGGTGAAAATGAAGAAGATGAAGTTGTGTCAGTATCTGATACCAATGTTACTAACTCATTTGTCCATCAAGCGTTGCTTCAAAGGTACTCAGTAATTATCCCTTGGATAGTTTCTCTTGGTGTGTTGAGAAATGAACAGGCAGACAGACTGGCTGGTGCTGAATGGACTGCGAAAGTGTGAAAAGTATGGAGAGAATGGGGCAGTGGTTAGTGACCAAGCCATCTGGCCGAAACTGTACACACAGAGGAAAGGTCAGACATTTGATCAAACTGCTGCGGGTACCCACAGAAGTGGAACTCTTCTTGTGTCATTACCAAGTTGTGTCCATTACTAGACAGGTGAAGTTAGCATCCTTTGGATGTTTTCTCCAGGACATGCCAGTGTGTTGGGAAATGAGCAGGCAGATAGACTGGCCAGTTCTGCACCACTTGGTGGTGAACTGATGTATGACAGGCTGGATGTTGTGAGGGCCCTGTGGGAGCCAGGGAACAGTGCTGAGGCACAGATAGATCATTACGGTCTGAGGAGAATGGCACTGCGTAGAGTTGCAAGGGAATCTGGCCGACACTGAGGGCAAAGGCGAGACGAATATACAATCAGACAGTTACTGGTAACATCAGAATTTTAACTTTTTGCTTGCTGCTGAAGATGGGGACTGAGCGTTTATGAGAGTGTCCAGAGTACTGCGATGTCAATTCTCATTTCATCATTCAACATTGTGTCACTATCTGCCACTTGATTTCGATTTCATCATCATCAGTCAGCAGGTTCTCTACAAAACCTAGCTTTCGCCACGGCACACCTGAAAGTCTCTCTTTCTCTAGCCAGTTCTCCAGCCCTATGTGTTTTCACAGCCAGGGCATCTTTTATCAACCTTTATGGAGTAATACTCATGTCACTAGCTGAGGTGTCCATAACTGATGGATGTACCATCATGCTTCAAGAACTCATGAAAAAAACAAATTGTGTAACACCTGGTGCCTCATTCGTTACACTTACGCGGAAATGCATATTTTATTCATCACAAGTTGGGATGAGTTGTGACAGTTGAAAGTTACCGACACAGGAATCAAATAACACCAGTATTGACACACCCAGAATGTTTATGCACCCTGTTGATAACTCAGTTAGAACACATTGACATGACAATAGTTGAGCAGGGTTCTTAATTAATGAATTTTTGTGTGTGTTGAAGAGTTTTTTTTTTTCATTAAACAGGATGTTACTTTATATTTTTTGTTGAACAGTGTCTTATTTTGTATTGAACAGAGTGCTATTTTTTTAATTTATTGAATAGGGTTTTAATTTATTTTGTGTGTTGGTGTGTGTATGGTCAGTTCAAGAGAGGAAAAGAGAGAGAGAGAAAGAGAGAGAGGGGGAGAATAAGGAGGGGAGGGGAAGAAATTTATTGACACATCAAAAGTTAAACAGTGTCTTAGTTACATTATTGATCAATTCAAAACAAGAGAAACAAAATGAATGAAAGGGATTGATGAAGGGAGAGATATGGATGGAGAAAGGAGGGAGAAAGAGATGGAGAAAGTTAGAAAGAGGAGGGAGTGGAGAGGAAGAAAGAGAGAGATAGAGAGAAATTGAGAGGGAAAGCATTTATTTGTGCATTAGATTACTAATGGGAATGTTGTTTTTTAAACAGTTAAGGTCTGAAATTCAAACCTTTCTTATCACCTGGCTATCAGAGAATTGGGACTCTAGTATAACACCTGCTTTATCCCACAAGTGCCGCCCCTTTGGGGAAACACAGGCCTGACACAATATTCTCTCACAGGCATATCAATGAAGGCTTCATACATTTGATATAAGTGAGGCTAGAACTAAAGTATCCCCATTCAGGTGCTCTTAAGATATATCATTTCTACGTGTGTTGTTTGGCCTACAGTTTTTAAACTACTTTGGTTGTTGTTTTAACTACCTCTTTTGGATGCAAAAACATCTTCAGCTTGTTTGATGTTATCTATTAGTGCTCTGCCTGTTCTGCCTCTCGTCTTTGTAGATTACACTTAATTAGTTGCAGCACTTCAGATCAAAATATTATTGATCATACTATGAAAGGCCTTGCTACATGATGATGATATATATATTTATAGAGAGAGAGGAGATAGAAAAGGAGAGAGAGAGAATAACAGAGAGGAAGAGAGAAAGAGGTGTCTACTTGTTTAAGTGGGTTACCAGTAAATGACGGTTGTGTTTGTTTACTGTTGCAGGAGCTGTTGCCTAGGATCTTGGTCAAGGACCCTGTCACCCATGACAGCTGGGAGCAGGGCAGATTCACCACATACCTCATCTGTATTAAGGTACAATGCCTAGTTTCTATTTTTTGTAAATTTCTGTCCTGAAATAACACCGGATCAAAATAAGTTAAAATAATAAAATGTTTTGGACATCAGCTAGAATAGAAACATTTACAGTAAAGATAAGAATATGGTGATTGTTTCATTCCTTGTGGACTGCAGGTGTGCAGACACAAAGAAAATGTGTTCTAGCTTTCATATATTTTAGTCTTAAATAGATGATGGAAAATCAAATGGTTTGCCCACTTGGAAAGAAAGCCTTCTGATGCTATACCATACAAGGCATATACCAAAAGAGGAGAGGAACATAGATCAGGAGGTAGACCAAGAATAAGATGGGAAGATAACATCAGAGAGACTCTACAGCACCACAATGTGTGTATGGTCTAAGCAGCCAGAAGCATTAAAAGAGGACATAAAGAAAAAAAAAAGAAGAAGGTGTTCCAGACCCTTGAGCAAGAAATATTATTTAAAAAAAGCACATTTTTATTACACTATCTTCTTCTTTCTTCTTTTCTCTACTCCTGGAATGCCTTGCAGCATCAGGGCAGGAAGAGATCTTTGGAACGGGCCCTTCTGTTTGCTTCATATAAAGTAATTTTCAGTGTCTCTGATATTTCTGTGGTCCATCTTCTGCATGGTCGACCTCTGGGTTTGTTTTTAGTGTATCTGTATAACATTGCTGTCTGTAGTGCCCTATCTGTTGCCAGTCTTGTTACTTGGTGCAATGAATCTCTTCTTCTTCTAGATGGCTCTAGTCACTGTAGATTCCTTTTTGACACACCGACTTCAATACGACGAGCAGAAAAATGGACGACAGGAAACAACCTAAGACTGTTTCTGCATTTTATTCTTCCACTCGCGGCTTCCTCAGCCGGCACATGAAATATCACAAGGTCTAGGGTATACACTTTAACTCAAATCAACCATTCTGATCAATGTTACCTTTTAGCCGAAATCACAATCGTCCTAACACAAGCACAATGAAACAAAACCACTGCTGTTCTGACGGTAACTAACGCAGCTGGCAGATATCTTGTCGTCTGACGTTGCTGTTGGCCAAGTTGGGCGTTGAAGCTAATTTTACACTCAGACACATTCCAACCTAACTTTGTGCTATATCAAGTGCCAACCTAACTTAGTTTGTGGCAAGTGCTGTTACAAGTGCTAACCTAACTTTGCCTGTGCGGTACCAAGTGCTAACCTAACTTTGTGCTGTACCAAGTGCTAACCTAACTTAGTCTTTGCTGTACCAAGCGCTAACTTAACTTTGTGCTGTACCAAGTGCTAACCTAACTTAATCTGTGCTGTACCAAGCGCTAACTTAACTTTGTGCTGTACCAAGTGCTAACCTAGCTTTGCCTGTGCTGTACCAAGTGCTAACCTAACTTTGTGCTGTACCAAGTGCTAACCTAGCTTTACCTGTGCTGTACCAAGTGCTAACCTAACTTAACCTATTCTGTGTCAATTGCTAACCTAACTTAACCTATGCTGTATCAAGTGCTAACCTAACTGCCTGTGCTGTACCAAGTGCTAACCTAACTTAGCCTGTGCTGTATCAAGTGCTAACCTAACTTAGCTTGTGCTGTACCAAGTGCTAACCTAATTTAACCTATGCTGTACCAAGTGCTAACCTAACTTAACCTATGCTGTATCAAGTGCTAACCTAACTTTGCCTGTGCTGTATCAGGTGCTAACCTAACTTTGCCCGTGCTGTACCAAGTGCTAACCTAACTTAACCTATGCTGTATTAAGTGCTAACTTAACTTAGCCTGTGCTGTACCAAGTGCTAGCCTAACTTAGCCTGTACTGTACCAAGTGCTAACCTAACTTAGCCTGCGCTGTACCAAGTGCTAACCTAACTTAGCATGTGCTGTACCAAGTGCTAACCTAACTTAGCCTGTGTTGTACCAAGTGCTAACCTAACTTAGCCTGTGCTGTACCAAGTGCTAACCTAACTTAGCCTGCGCTGTACCAAGTGCTAACCTAACTTAGCCTGTGCTGTACCAAGTGCTAACCTAACTTAGCCTGTGCTGTATCAAGTGCTAACCTAACTTAACCTGTGCTGTACCAAGTGCTAACCTAACTTAACCTGTGCTGTACCAAGTGCTAACCTAACTTAGCCTGTGTTGTACCAAGTGCTAACCTAACTTAGCCTGCTGTTGAGAGCTGGTAAGAAGTTCTTCTTTTTGGCACTCACCGGCAGTAAATTCTGGCAGAAAGTTCGGATTGTTCATCCACTCCAAGACTTTGATCTTGATCCAGAACTTGAGTTTTGCATTTTACAGATCTGGCTTATTTGTGTGCAGATTGTTGGTTTCTCATTTATCGTGCAGATGCACTCCGACAGGAAACACCCTTAATTACTCGCCTCCTACAGGCTTTTTGTGAGGCAATGGGTCTACTCTATGTTCTCCAAAATGGATCACTGAAACCCACTAAAGGAGATAAGAACAGAAACATTTTAAATAAGGTGCGGACAAATTTATTTCAAATAACATTGATAGTGTAACATTGAAAATAATTACATGTGAGTGGCGTGGTGATTTCTGTCACAGGCGTGAGGTAAAGTTAAGTACAATGTGATGTGTATAAGGAGTTACTCCGTACGTCACTCGGGCACCAGTCCTGCACTGTTCTGGTTTTACGGAACCTCACGCAAGACTCCTGCAGCAGGTCCTCATCGTGCGCCATGGATAATGTCTCAAATGTAGCTGAAACCTGCAAAAAAGATGAACAAATCCATCACCTAAGCCACCTGAGAAGTGCAAGACAAATACAGAAAACCACAACACTGGACTACAACCTGGTATCAGTGAGATGATGAAAGAAGAAAAGAAGGAGTATAACATTGATTTGTTGTTACATTTGATATAACTGTCTTCATTATACTGTTCTAGACTGAGCACCCGGCTTTCCATCTTCGGTTGTCGGCAGTGAGAAGGCGTTTTTCAGAACTGCGATGGTTGTACAATGTTCTCAGGGAGAATCACTCTCACGTGTAAGTGCTAAATTTCATCAGTTGTCCTTGTTGGCGGCACCATTCTTATGTCGTTTGTTTCTCCAGATGTTTCATTGTTTTGTATAATTTTCTGTTATCAGCAGAAAGTGGATATGAGTTACAGGACCTGGTATAACAATATCAAGCGGCGTGCAGTTTCATTTAGAAGTAATACATTTTTTAAAAAGTCTAAAATAATTAACAGTGCCATTACTCACCCTCTTGGGTGGTGAATAAACCTGGACAATGAACAAACAACTAGAAAATCTCATTGAGTCCCTCGAGATGTGGAAATTCATAAGAATAGGTCGTATTTCATGGAAACAAAAACAGATGTATCAGTTTTGAAGCTACTGGGAATGAAAAGAGAGTTACTGGAGTAAATAAAATAATAAAGTTCCTCTTCCACACCTTTAGGCGTATTGGGAATATCTGGCTAGACCTATATTTTTATAGACCAATCGGCACTTAGTTGGTGATGTGGTCAGCATCACGCTGGTCACCTTTACCTCCCAGGACTGCACCTGGTACCCACTCAAGGCTGGGTCTATCTGGGAGTCAAGGTAATTTAAATTTAAGGACACGAACCCAGGACTTTCTGATCCTCATGCGTGCGTCTAGCCCCATTGCCACGGCGACTCCCTGAATTAGATAAAAAAAAGATAGCTGGAATATTTCAGCCACATTGTTTGTTGTTACATTTGATATAACTGTCTTCATTATCCATAAGTAACCAATCACTTGAAAATGTAGAACATTTAACATATCTTGGCAGTGTGGTGTCCCTACTGGGAGGGACAGAGGAAGACATACAGTCACGTCTGAACAAAGCTAGAGCTGCTTTTGGAAGGATGAGGCAAATCTGAAAATCCAACAATTACTGCAGAGGAACGAAACTCCGACTCTACAAGAGCATCATTTTGCCAGTTCTTCCTTATGGAGCGGAATGCTGGAGAATGACCAAAAAGGATGCACACAAGCTGCCCACCTTCCACCACACATGTCTACGTAGAATTATCAAAATTTTCTGGCCAGATAAAATCTCAAACACTAAACTACTTCAAGCCACAAACCAAGAAACTTTAGGCAGTATGATTACCAAGAGAAGATGGAAATGGCTTGGCCACGTTATGAGAATGACTTCTGATATACCTGCCAATACAGCTCTCACATGGACACCAGAGGGAAAGAGAAAACAGGGGCGCCCAAAAACAACATGGAGACGAACGATGGAAAGTGACCTGAGTGCTGCATCTTTGACATGGAAAACTGCACTGAAGATTGCACAGGACAGGAAAGCATGGAAAGTCCTCTCTGAAGCCTCATGTGCCACTAGGCATAACAAGAACTGATATATAACTGATATTATACAGAGTCCTCTGTTGATCTTTCTAATCACATTTGATGTTGTATTTAATACTTTTGAATTCGTTACATCTGCCCCCGACACTTCGCTGAGGTACAAGGTGGAAGAGAAGAAGAAGAAGAATTCGTTAATGAATAAATAAATAAATCAAAAACTTACATCATTTGAGGCATTCCCGTACATCCAATATGCCACACTCTCCTAAAAACCGTACTGGAGGGAAAAGTTGAAGGTTAGAGAGTAAGGGATGGACAGTGATACAGGTGGGAGCACAGCATAAATAGACATTAATTTGAGAGATTACATTCCAGAAATGAAAAGTGTTTGTTGGAGATCCTTGGCAGCCTAATTTCATTGTGGAGACGGCACCTTATTGATTGTTGTATCATTTTGTTAATACATTAAAAAAAGTAAACTCTTATGTAAAATACATTTCTTCTACTTGTTTGCAACAGTGATCATTATTTTTATGAACATTCGTCTGTTTCAGTCATTTCCCAAAACCCCCGGGTAAAAAAGTTTTTGCGGAGAGATTTGAGGCAGAGTTCATCGACACAAGAATGATGGAAATTCAGAATTATCTCAATGAGTAAGCTTTATGTTATGAATGTGATTTGCTTTCTTAGTCTCTACATGGGTACCCTGACAGATTTCCCTTTTCACTTTTTACCAGCTATCAGTTTTGACCAGGACTTGAGATTTTACATGCACATTCACTTTACAGGCCTGGCTTATTTGTATGCAGACTGTTAGTTGCTCAGCTCTCAGGCAGATGCATTCTAACTTCAAAGGAAGCATTGATCCTGTCTATGTTGTCCAGACTCCCAGTTGGGAACTTGTTTCTGGAATGACCCCAGAGAAATGTAAGGTCTTGACTAATTCGAGCTCTGGTCGTGGGTTCCGGGGCCATGTGTGGGTTCTGGGGCCCTATGTGGGTTCTGGGGCCCCATGTGGGTTCTGGGGCCCTATGTGGGTTCCGGCCTCATTGTGGGGAATGACTGCCTCCCTAACAAGCATGTAATAATTTGGAGAACTAGGAGTAAAAATGGGGCACAGCCAGGCACGAGAGTCACATCAGACATACAAGAATTATTTGAAACAAGCATAGGGCTGGCTGTGTTAACCGCTGGGCACTGATGTATATGTTAAAAGGAAATCTGAGGATGTTATCAGAGTGATGTGCAGCTCATAACTCAATTTTTTGTAAAAGTTGACTAATTAGAGGCGTTTACTTCGAAGTTGCAGTGCATCTCCTGAGGAGCAAGGAACCAACAGTCTGCATACAAATAAGCCAGATCTGTAAAATGGATGTGCACACAAAACTCAATATCTGGAACAAGACTTGTCTTGTCTTTTGAGTTTTCCAGTCACAGTTTGTGACTGGAAAATAGTACACTATTGATAAAGACTTTGGCCGAAATGTTCGGTCAAATTTAAGCCTGCTTTTTCCATTTCCTCCAGAGAGTTTCCAGCCATATATTGTGATGTATTCAGTACTTAGAATATGTTTAGCAGTGAATGAATTAATGATCAAGAAATGACGTCATTTGAACTTGAGGCATTTCTACACAAGCTCTTTCTCCTTCCTCAGTTGCCAAAAAAAAAAAAAGATTCCTATAGTGATGATGCCACTGGCAACCTGTTGAAAAGTCTGCCTGTTAATTTTTCTACTAAATCATTTTTTTTTGTTTTTAGCATTTATTGTCCTACTTATATTGTCCATGTTGTTTGGTGGCATTGGTAGTCATGTCTATCCACAACTTTCTGTCTCATGTACTTTCACTCACTTCTGACACAGATGATTTTCCATGCCATGATGTTCAGAATCTTCTCTATTGGTCTCCCTCTCCCTCTCTCCCGCTCCAGTTTTTCTACCGTCATGATGTACTCCAGTTTTCTCCTTCTCATGACAGGTCTAAAGAATGTAGATTGTCTCTTTCTGCTGTGGCAGTCAGTTCTCTTTGTGAGTCAGTTTCTTTCAATAATCTTCATTATTACTCTTTTTACCTGTCCAGGCTGTTCTTACCGTTATCTGTAAACCGCTGCAAACTTGTTTCAGGCCCCAGGAAATGTATTCAGTTTAATGCTTTATTCTACTCATGTTCATTGATTACTCCCTTGTCTCCCCAACACTCAGGGGAAAGATGAGACGGATATACAGTCAGATGGTTACTGGTGCCATCAGAATTGGAACTGTTTGCTTGCTGCTGAAGATAGGGACCGAGCACTTATGGGAGTGTCCAGAGTGCTGTGATGTCGATTCATAAATTCAACATTCAACATTCCTGTGTCTCCTTGTGTGGGTTCCAGGGCCCCATTGTGAAGAAAACAAGAATAGACCCACTGCTTCTCAGGGTGGGTTCTAGGACCCCATTGTAGGGAAAAAAGAATAGACCCACTGTCTCACCAACAAGCATATCGTAGTAGTCGAATAATTGAGAAAAGGTAAAGGTCAAGTTGGGAGATGTGAACCAGCGTCATTGCACACGGTTATAAACCATAAGTGCTCTGCCACCAGTACGGACAGCTGATAAGAAACTGTCCGCCTGACAAATTGAGAGATTCTTTTGAATTCTGAGTGCATTTGCCCAAGGAACAACCAACTGCACACAAGCCAGTAAATGGATGGCCCTGGATGGACAACCAGGACTTTCCGCTAGAGATTACAACCCGTCAACAGAAAAGAAGAAGGTTACCTTTTTTAATGCATCTTTCTGTGTTTCAGGAAAAAGGATTACAAAATATTCATAAACAAATTTGGGATAGTAGAGACCTGTGATGGTATTTTGTTGTTTAGAGGTTTTTGTGTGTGGAGGGTTGGGGGAGGAGGGGGGGGGGGGGGGGTGAATTCTCACTGGCTCCTGGCCCATTTATTTTAAGGTTACAAGGGTAAAAGCAAGTACCTTTTTCCACGCCTTTCAGGCGTATTGGATATATAGGGCTAGACCTAAATTTGATAGACCAATGGTACAAGATGGATGATGTGATCAGCATCACGCCGGCCACCTTTACTTCCCAGGACTGCACCCGGTACCCACTCATGGATGTCGACATTGGAGCCAAAAGCCCTGCTCGTTATGAAGGCGACAGGGTAAAGAAAAAGGGTCCTTCACTTACACTTAATATGTGAATGCTTTCTTTTAACCTTTAACAGTGTTCAGTAGACATTTTTTATTGCCCGCGACATTTTTCTAAGATTTGCATTCCTTTTTGCTTCCACAGACTGTTGATAACAGACACTGTCCTGTCTGATGCAGCATTTCATTTCTTTGTGCAAACTGACCTGACCACAGAGGAGATTCAGGAGTACCTCAATGGGACGCTGTCAGAGAACATTGTGGCAGAAGCTTGGGAAAATGCTGGACATCTTCACACAAGCAGTTATATTGTCAAGTATGTGTTAAGACCTGTTAGTCCTTCTTCTTCTTCACGTTTGCCGGCTGTAAACTCTGGCATAAGTTCTGGTGGTTTGTCCACTTCTGGACTTTGGTCTTATTCTGGAACTTGAGGCAGCTGCACTCCGACTTTAAAGGAAGACTTCCCCAATAAGTTGACTCTTATGACATGCTTGTTGGAGGACAGTGGTTCTGTTGTTTTCCCCACAGTGAGGCCCAGCAGCCCACACGGAGAGGAGCTAATAGTGTTTGTGGGCACTCACTGATTTTGTTTTTATGATGACTGTTCAGAAAGTGTCTGGCCGTTGGCTAGAGTATAGTTACTTTTTAGGTTTAAAACCCTAATCCTTATTAAAGTAGTCTCCTTGGGACTGCCAGGTTTAAAACTTTGATCCCCTTTAAAATAGTCTCCTTGGGACTGCCAGGTTTAAAACCTTAATCCCATTTAGACTCCTTGGGACTGCCAAGTTTAAAACTGTAATCCCTTTTGTAGTCTCCTTGTGACTGCCAGGTTTAAAACCTTAATCCCGTTTAGTCTCCTTGGGACTGCCAGGTTTAAAACCTTAATCCCGTTTAGTCTCCTTGGGACTGCCAGGTTTAAAACCTTAATCCCGTTTAGTCTCCTTGGGACTGCCAGGTTTAAAACCTTAATCCCATTTAGACTCCTTGGGACTGCCAAGTTTAAAACTGTAATCCCTTTTGTAGTCTCCTTGTGACTGCCAGGTTTAAAACCTTAATCCCGTTTAGTCTCCTTGGGACTGCCAGGTTTAAAACCTTAATCCCGTTTAGTCTCCTTGGGACTGCCAGGTTTAAAACCTTAATCCCGTTTAGTCTCCTTGGGACTGCCAGGTTTAAAACCCTAATACCCCTTAAAGTAGTCTTTTTTTTAAACCTTAATTAATTTCCTTTGAAGAGATTTCATTGAGACTGCAAGGTTTAAAACCTCTTAAGTCTCCTTAACCCCCTTTAAAGTAGTGTCCTTGTGACTGTGATGTTTAAAACCTTAATCTCCTTTAGTCTCCTAGGGACTGTGAGGTTTAAAACCTTAATCCCGTTAAGTCTCCTAGGGATTGCAAGGTTTAAATCCTCTTTAGTCTCCTTGGGACTGCCAGGTTTAAAACCTTAATCACCTGTAGTCTCCTAGGGACTGAGTTTTAAAACCTTAATCCCCTTTGGTCTCCTTGGGACTGCACTTACTTCTCCTGGTTTTTTTTTGATAATTGTTGGAAGCATTTCAGAAAGCCTGTTTGGAGACGCTTCAACTGTCACGTTCTGCTTACTGTTGTCTTGTGGCTAAACTCATGTCCCCTTCAGTATAATTTTCAGCTTGGGAAGCAAGAAATATTACAAGAAGCCAAGTCAGGAGAGAAGAACTAGAAGAAAGCTGTGTTTGGCCATGAAAATCTGAATCAGAAGTGTAGGATGGACAAGGGTTGGCTACCCCATCCATAATAAACTTCAGTCACAAAAGACAGACGCAGGCGAGTCTAACAAGACAATGCGGGTTCATGTGGGCCTCTGCTTCCTTAGGATTTGAGGGTAGAGCAAGAAATAAAAGGACCCCTTTTGACGCCTTCATGCGTATTAGGCGTATAGGGCTAGACCTACATTTTATAGACCAATCAGTAGTGTGTGGGTGATATAGTCAGCTTCTCACCGACGGCCTCTACTTCTTTGGACTTCACCTGGTACCTATTTACGGCTGGGTCAACCTGGAAGCCAAGACCTTTATTGAAAAAAAAAAGTCTAGCTTCATATAGATTTGAACCCAGTATCTTTGGATCCACAGGCGAGTGTCTGACCACTACACCATGGTAGCTAAGAAAAATAAGAAGGAAATATGGTGCAGACTTGATAAGAACTTATCGGGGACCCAAGAAATGGTTCTTCTTACCAGAAGTTCCTCTTATCCAAATGAGAACTCAAGGAAGAAAAATTGCTGGGAATAAACAAATTATTCTTCACAACAGAAATCTGCCACATCTGAAGTGAACTTAAGCAGTCTACACTGTGACTGCAGAAACCATTAAAATCTTGACATGCACCCTTCTAAATTTAAAACTATTCATTGTGTCTTCCCACAGTTCTATTGTCATCCCCCATGAACCTCAGGAGATTGCCATGAATGAAGAGGACTTACAGCACATGTCTCGCTCTCTGGATACCTCAAACTCATATTCCCCTACACAGACCAGCGGTGACCTCAGTTACCCTACCCTGACAACCATAAAGGAATCTCAAGATTTGAACACACACGCAGAAACGTCCTTGAAACATGCACATGGCAGCAGTCCTGCACATGTGATCAGTGGTTTTGAGGAGCTTATAGTTTCTGATGTACCTCCTGTTGATATACCAGCAACTTGTGACGGCGATAAGAAATCAGAACTGAGTAAGATTTCTGAGGCTCCCCCTGCTGATACACCAGCATTCCCATCCACAGACGAATCGACTACTTGTGGTGGCGATGAGAAATCAGAACTGAGTAAGATTTCTGAGGTACCCCCTGCTGATACACCAGCATTCCCATCCACAGATGAGTCAACTACTTGTGATGGCGATGAGAAATCAGAACTGAGTAAGATTTCTGAGGTACCCCCTGCTGATACACCAGCATTCCCATCCACAGATGAGTCGACTACTTGTGATGGCGATGAGAAATCAGAACTGAGAAAGATTTCTGAGGTACCCCCTGCTGAAAGACCAGCATTCCCATCCACAGATGAGTCGACTACTTGTGATGGCGATGAGAAATCAGAACTGAGAAAGATTTCTGAGGTACCCCCTGCTGAAAGACCAGCATTCCCATCCACAGATGAATCGACTACTTGTGATGGCAATGAGAAATCAGAACTGAGTAAGATTTCTGATAGTGATGATGATGTCATAACCGAGATCGGAAATAAGGAGGTTAAAATGAACTTGCCAGAAAAGAATGTTCCACATGTTCCTCTGTAATATATCTAAACGTTGATGAAATGTGATGGTCGGCAAAGACCAGTTATCTTTGTTGTGAAAAAATAAAATGGTAAACTTAATGCCTTACCGTTTTATGGCATTGAATGAAACATTCCATGCAAGACAATTTTCTTTGGCTTCGTTTTTACAAGATCACTTTAATTGCACTGATGTATCACTACGTAGGCATCAGTCTTCTCTCACAGATCACAAAAGGCAACCGAACATAGATTGCCAAATCCTTAGTAATGAAAATTATTAGCGTGTATGATTACAATATATTAGACATGAGTGATATAGGTATTGAAGTGGACTCATGAGAACAAAATGCCATGGACCATGTTGTATGGAGGGGCACTTAAGAAAGGGATTGAGCATGAAGGAAGAAATGATTGCAGAAACAATGAGAGCTGGGCCTCTGAGAGGAAACAGAATAAACACAGATGTTGACAGCAGTGGTCCTGAAATCCCACGCTGTAATCGTGGAAGACTTTCTCTTGACGTGGGCCGGTCTTGCTGGTCACACTTGCCATCGCCATGGGCTGTGAGTCTCATGCCTCCTTATAGCACAAAATAACACTATATAGTCTGGACAGACGGAATGGTGCCAATTATGAATACAGTAACACATGCTGTAACATTTATTTTGTGTGTGTGTGTGTAATAATTCAAATTAGAAAGTTTTTCAATAGTGGCAGCTTTGCTAAGCACTCTCTTGTTTGTTTCAAACTGTCAAGGAAAAGTTAGCTGTAGTCTTATGCACACAGATACTTCCAAGTTTTCATCCTTTATCTGAGAAAACTAGATGTGGGATCCATTACCTAAGCATCATGTGCATTTCTCAGATGGTTCAGCAGTTAAATATATGATTTTTATATGCTGTTCTCACCTGTTTTTACCTATTCTGTTGTGTATTTTCACTTTTAAAAATGTGTTGTTTATCATCACCTTTAAAAAAAATCTATTCTTTGATCTAGTTCCTTATAGAGAATGTGATCTTCTCTCCTTCATTGTTAATTTGAGACAGAGAGCCAGACTTGCATTTTGAGGACAGAAATGTTGCCATAGATGCATCAGATCTACATCTCTGTAGTGTTTCTTTGAGGCTGTCATGATTTACATCCCCTTCTTCTGGCTCTCTACATCAGAAATGTTGCCATAGATGCATCAGATCTACATCTCTGTAGTGTTTCTTTGAGGCTGTCATGATTTACATCGCCTTCTTCTGGCTCTCTACATCAGAAATGTTGCCATAGATGCATCAGATCTACATCTCTGTAGTGTTTCTTTGAGGCTGTCATGATTTACATCGCCTTCTTCTGGCTCTCTACATCAGAAATGTTGCCATAGATGCATCAGATCTACATCTCTGTAGTGTTTCTTTGAGGCTGTCATGATTTACATCGCCTTCTTCTGGCTCTCTACATCAGAAATGTTTGGATTGTTTACTTTCTCAGCAGTTTCTCTAACATTGTTTGTTTAATGTAGAGTAGCCCAGGCAAAAGCAGCATTTCACACAGTGAAAATTATACTATGCAGTATATTGTTGTTAGTTTGAGACAAGTAAGAAAGAGAGTTCTTAAAAGCTGTATTGAGCAAATTCTGGTGTGATCATGAACAGGTAAATAATGGACAAGCAATGGATATGGGACAATGCTCTAGAAGCTGCAGACATATGGTTTTACAGAACTATGAAAATGCCATGGACAGATGAACATATTATAAATTATCTGGTAAAAAATTAACTAGCAAACACAACTGGATACTCATATCAGAAAATGGCTCCACTTATAAGAAGAAGCACCAGAATATACTAAGCATGTGCTGCAACATTGTCAACCGAAGCTGCCCACAGAGACACAATCTGGCCTGTTCCAGCCAACTCTATCAACCACAGACTGCTCACAGAGACACACTCTGGCTTGTTCCAACCCAACAAAGCTGTATGGTAAACAGGGCAATTTGGACAGCACAGTAACTTTAACAAAGGTTACCAGTCAGCATGTAAGTTTTTCTGACAAAAGGATTGAAGAAGAAATAATAATAAACTTGCAAGCTGGAGAGAAGAGAGGCAGGGGGAGACCACCAAGGGTGAATATTTGATTTTGGCATCATGGTGTGAAGAAAAATCTGTGTCAGAAGTGATTGGCAGGATATGAGAACAAAGACTGGACAGACATACATTGTAATCAGCAGCATAAGGTATCGGCTAGATGAAGATTATTATTTTATTATAATATAAAGTGAGAACATTCTATTACAAAATATAAAAGAGATAGAACTTTTATTGTCTGTGGTAACATGTGGTCTAATGCAGCTGAATTACCAGTCTATATTTGTTTTATTTTATAAAAGTGCCTTGTTATGTAACAGAATTATGGCATTATTTATCTTGTAAATATTATACAATACATGCTACACTCTACTGTATGGTAAAATAAATGGGTTATATTTTATGCCACTTTGTATACTTACTTGTAAACTATGACTAACATTAAACATAATTACAAAGCAAGTTATTGCACTGTTATGTTAAACTTTGATGAGCATTGTTTTCTAGTTTGGCTTTACAAAGCAATATTTTTGCATTGTCAACTTACAGAATGAGGAAACAAAATATACTGTTTAATCATTTTACCAGGTTTGCTTCTGCATTATCTTCAACACAATTTGCTAACCAGTCTTCCATTTTATGAGGAAAGATTGTCAATAATCATTTCTTTTTGTCTTTCTTTGCTTTTCAGATGAATTCTGTTTTTAAAACAATTTAATTATTACAAGAATAGGGACCACTTTGTGAGATATTTTATCAGAACAGAAAACTGTTACAAAATTGACAATATAGTCAGCAATTCAGATATATATTTTCCTGAAGCAGATTCTGCAGATGACAAACTACTAAACATAACATTTTCTGTTAAAAATCCCAAACAGAAAAAAAAAATTATTTTAAACAAAAATGTTGGTTTAAGTTAAAGGATATGCTGCTAACTGAGGTTCTGCAGAAGGCGGGAACGCCTCATCTTCCCATCCTTTTAAAATAGATTCTCTAAACTTTCTGAAAAGTTAAAGCGGCCACTTTATTTTAACCGCATTACCAATTGAATGCCCTTTTACCTACAGATATGGGGGTTTAATATCATAGACCAAATACACCTCATTGAAGCTGTCAATTTCTGGAATGTTAGAAAACTAGATTATAACATTTCATTTCTATAGTCAGTAATACTGGGACAACATGATACATCAGAGAAACTCCAGCTATGACTCCCTCGTCAGAAAGTTGTTTAGTAGAAATAAAAATGCAGTTTAGAGAATATAGTGGTTGTATCCCCTGTTGACCAACTTCGACAGTCATCGAATTCGCGACGTGTAGTCTGCCGACTGATGTCCCTACCAATAGTTTTTTAATTAAACTGCATCCCGGTGTTTTTATTATTCCAAGATGGCTGCGCCCGCGATCGGTACCGCGATCCAGATTTAGCTTGTGTATCCAGATCTGGCTCATTTTGAATCCAGATTAGGCTTATTTGTATCAGATTTGGCTTATTTTAAATCCAGATTTGGCATATTTTAAATCCAGATTTGGCCTATTTTAAATCCAGATTTGGCCTATTTTAAATCCAGATTTGGCCTATTTTAAATCCAGATTTGGCCTATTTTAAATCCAGATTTGGCCTATTTTAAATCCAGATTTGGCCTATTTTAAATCCAGATTTGGCCTATTTTAAATCCAGATTTGGCCTATTTTAAATCCAGATTTGGCCTATTTAAATCCAGATTTGGCCTATATTAAATCCAGATTTGGCCTATTTTAAATCCAGATTTGGCCTATTTTAAATCCAGATTTGGCATATTTTAAATCTAGATTTGGCTTATTTATATCAGATTTAGCCTATTTTAAATCCAGATTTGGCATATATTTTAAAATCCAGATTTGGCCTATTTTTAAATCCAAATCTGGCATATTTTAAATCCAGATTTGGCCTATTTGTATCCAGATTTGGCAAATTTTTTGTCCAGATCTGGCTCGTTTTTTTTAAAATCCCGATTTGGCCTATTTTACATCCAGATTTTGTCTGTCTCGTTTCCTTCTCTCCCTCACTACTTTTCCTATTTTATTTCTTGTTAAATAACACTTTGCTGACCAACTTCAGCGATTGTCGAATTTCCGGTTGTATCCCCTGTTGACCAACTTTGACAGTCATCGAATTCGCGACGTGTAGTCTGCCGACTGATGTCCCTACCAATAGTTTTTTAATTAACTGCATCCCGGTGTTTTTTTATTTTCCAAGATTTTATTTCGGTACCGCGATCCAGATTTAGCTTATGTGTATCCAGATCTGGCTCATTTTGAATCCAGATTTGGCTTATTTAAATCAGATTTGGCCTTTTTAAATCCAGATTTGGCCTATTTTAAATATTTTAAATCCAGATTTGGCCTATTTTAAATCCAGATTTGGCCTATTTTAAATCCAGATTTGGCCTATTTTAAATCCAGATTTGGCCTATTTTAAATCCAGATTTGGCTTATTTTAAATCCAGATTTGGCTATTTTAAATCCAGATTTGGCCTATTTTTAAATCCAGATTTGGCCAATTTGGCATTTTTAAATCCAGATTTAGCCTATTTTGGCCTAAATCCAGATTTGGCCTATTTTAAATCCAGATTTGGCCTATTTTAAATCCAGATTTGGCCTATTTTAAATCCAGATTTGGCCTATTTTAAAATCCAGATTTGGCATATTTTAAATCCAGATTTGGCATATTTTAAATCCAGATTTGGCCTATTTGAATCCAGATTTGGCTATTTTTTTGTCCAGATCTGGCTCGTTTTCTTAAAATCCAGATTTTGCCTATTTTACATCCCAGATTTTGTCTATGTCTCGTTTCCTTCTCTCCCCCCACCACTTTTCCTATTTTTATTTCTTGTTAAATAACACTTTGCTGACCAACTTCAGCGATTGTCGAATTTCCGGTTGTATCCCCTGTTGACCAACT